GGTTACCCACCAAACAGCTAACTCAGCCAGCACTGTGATGTACAGGTTCTGCTATGTTGTGAGTTCTGTTTTATTTCTCAGTGTGGTGCTTTAATCCTTCTCACATTCTGATTCACTCTTTTGCCTTTGTGTTCAGTTGTGGTTAGAGTGCTTTCCCACCGCACCTTTCTTTCTTAAGGAATCGTTCAGAAACTTGCTCTGATTTATTGTTACGGGCACATCAGGTGACGTTTTCAAACAAGCTTAGTACACGCCAGCCTGTGCTTCCATTGAATTTTTGGGACTGACTTTTTTCCCAATGGAAAAAAATTTGAGGGCTAAAAGCTTTTAAAAATGTTTCTTTTTGAAATTTTAAAAGAGAGCCTCTACCTAGCATAGTAGAAGGTTCCAAGCTAATCTTCATCTGGCGATCCAGCCAAACCAGGGGGCATGGTCCCAGCCCTCTTTAGTATACCCACCCGTTTTTCAGCTGCAGCACTAGAGCCATTCGTAGCAACTCTGTATAATTTGAGATGAGGATGGGTAAAAGCGTTTCGCTAACCATCTGCTTTATTTTCAGAGTTTCCCTGAGACTTTCATGTAATTAGTGTTTCCTCTAGTGTTGATGCCTGATCATATATAGCTCCTGTGTTGCATTTTACTGAAAGCTTTATTGGTGCATATGCATCAAGTAGCACGATTGTTTTGAAAACTGGCTCTTTTAGCCATCAAAACTTGTATATCTTGCGCAGGCAGTAGGGCCTCAGATGCTCTGTGGGGCATGAGACTAAGGGAAGAGCATAGTTTGCCAGTGTTTCTGTAGCGAAGATGAAGGTGGCTGTAATCTGTCCCCTTCTTATGAAAGCGGCTTGTGGCTCTTCAGTTTCCTGTGCAGCTTGCAAATGCTGCCTCCAGCATAGTTTAGTTTGGGTGATCTTCCTTTGTTTCTGCTTTACGCAGAAGAGCAGATGGCTCTTCCATTCAACATGAAAGTGTATCACCAACGAGGGTGTGTTTCTTTCTTTATATGTAGGTTGGGATCAAAAAAGTCTTTGCTGAGGTCCTTCCTTCTCACAAGGTTGCAAAGGTCCAGGAACTCCAAAATGAGAGGAAGAAGGTTGCGATGGTTGGTGATGGAGTCAATGATTCCCCTGCGCTAGCCAGGGCTGACATTGGAATTGCAATTGGAACAGGCACTGATGTTGCCATTGAAGCAGCAGATGTTGTTCTTATCCGAGTGAGCACTGCAATTTTGACCTGTCCCCTTTTGTCATTGATGCTCCTCTTTTTAGTTTGCTATTCTGAGGACTGTATGTGGAAAACCTTTTCACTGCTCTTCTGTCTTACAGAATGACTTACTGGATGTAGTTGCCAGTATTCACTTATCAAAGAGAACAGTACGAAGAATACGCATAAATCTGATTCTTGCCTTAATTTATAATCTGCTTGGAATACCCATAGCAGCAGGTAGGTGACTGCCAGAGCTCAGTGGAAGACAGCAGCACAGTTGAGCTCTGTGATGCCTCTTACAGGATTTCTTTCTCAAGCACCTGAAGGGAAGTTTGTGGAGCCTTTAGAGCTTGGCAAAAGGAGAAAAAAAATATTGATTTTTTTTTCATGCTGGTAGAAGAAATTTTTCTTCCCCAAATTTTAACCTCTTAGGAATAAATTCCTATATGTTAAAATGAAACCCAGGGTATTATTTCACATAGCAGTACTTGGAAATTAGTTTTGTATATTCAAAACGAGCTCTAATCAGAGATCTCATCCCAATTCTGGGTGCTCTCTCTTTTATTCAGTCACACACTTTCTCTTATGCTGCTTGCGTTCTCTGTGCTTCTGTCAGACATCTTCTCAGGCTCCAGATTTCTCCTTAAAATCTACTTCAAGTAATCCTCTTCTCCTTTATCAGTAATTTTACCGTACTTTGTCTGGACCATTACCCTGTCCTTCTGTTGCTTTTGCTCTGTTTCATACGTGCAGAATAGCTGGAAGAGACAATCAGTCTTACCTTGTGGTTACAGTCTTATATAGCTGAGTCTGTGCAAGGATCATCCCTTGCACCTGAAGAGACATGTTTAAAAATAAGTAAATATATGTTGACCTATGTGTGTTTATGGAGGTCTCAGCAAGTCACTCTTTAGGACTACCGATCTGTTCTGTAATTATACAGGAACAGAAGTGCCTGCATTGGGATGGGCTGCACCAGCTGATGATGTGTCCATGTTCTTTTCTGCTAGGTGTGTTCATGCCTGTTGGCCTTGTGCTTCAGCCTTGGATGGGGTCAGCTGCAATGGCAGCTTCTTCAGTGTCTGTAGTGCTATCTTCCCTGCAGCTGAAATGGCAAGTTATCTTACACTAAGCAATTGGAGAACCATAGACAGTACAGCTGATGGGACAGCAGAGATGGTAGAGACGGCACTTTGAGCTTTGTATGCCCAAAAGTGCCTGATAGTCTTTTAGCTTGGGGTTGCTTTGTCTAATCCTTGGCTTAGAAGAAAAAAGAAATCTTTGAAAGCATCATGATTCTGTTCCTTCAAATGCTCAATGAGACCATTAACTTGAATAAAAACTACATATGTGCTTATGTGTGTTTGCAGGATCAGCCCTACCGCTACAAGGCTTTTTCTCCCCCCCGAAAAAGAAATCTCTTCATAGCTATGCGAAAGATGAGACATTTCCATTAGGGTTTATTTTATTCTCCACTTTTTTCAGTCTTAAGCTGATGTGTTTAGTGCTGGGCATCTTTATGGTCACATAATTGGCAAATCATCCAGAACATTTGGCTTCAAGGAAACCATATTATAATATGCTCTGTGGGATAATTATCTTTCTAGAAGCTTCACTTCAAATAGATAGAAGTTTAGTTCCAAAGAACACAATAATGTGTGTGAAGAAGACCATACATACTTGCTATTGCTGGGCTTTTTTTTGACCTGGAACATATCAAATTAGGAAATGTCTCTTAGGTCATCAAATCCATTCCTCTGCACTTGCTGGAACTGCCTACTATGAACCCTTTGATAATTCAGCAAGCTCATAATTTTTCTTAAAGCACCTTGTCTTGAGAATCTCTCTTTTCCCATTCAAATGCCTTAATGCTGTATGACCAGTACTCTTAGCCATTAAACATTGCTTCTAAAGTGCAGCTACCACGTAGATTATCAAAAGTGTCTGATATGTTCTAATGCTGAAGTTGCTTCTGTAAATTGACCTTGTGATACTAAACTTCCCTCCTTCTCTTCTTAGTTACAAGAAGCCAGATGCAGAAAGTTATGAAGCACAAGCTCAAGGCCGCATGAAGCCACTTACTCCTTCCCAAATCAGTGTTCATATTGGAATGGATGATAGGAGGAGGGATTCATCCAGAACGGCTCCTTGGGATCAGATTAGTCAAGTGTCTCTCTCTTCCTTGACTTCAGACAAGCTGCCAAGACATAACGATTTTGTAGAGGAGGAAGGTGACAAATGGTCATTACTCATGAATGAAGATGAAGAACAGTACATCTGAAGCATTGTATTCTTAGCAGAACAGAAACCATTCTTACCCGTCAGTGACAGGAAGGACTGAGTTATGCCATCAAGAATTTCAAGCTGTAGGAGAAGTCATTCTTTCAACTCGCACAACAATTGCTACTCAGTTCAATGTTGGGTTGAATGGATTGTGGTTTTTCAGGTCACTGGTTACTTCTAGTCTTTGACAGGATCTGAGGCTCTAAAATGAACTGGCTCCTTTGCACACAGAAAATAGCAAAATAATGTAAAATTCTAACTGTCAGAGTCTAATAGAATTTCTCTATATTGGACTGTTTGCTGAGCACCAAATTTCGTTCTTTTCTTGCTTACTATCTATTCTTTCAAGAGCACATATAGCAAGAGTATTTTCAGATCTGCCAAATGGTGATTTCTGTGTCAAAGTGAAAACATCCATGGCATAAGGAGCTCTATGGCTGGAAGCTGTATTTTTACACAGAATACTAACTAGGCACGTCATTGTCGGAGCACTTGGGAGCACTTTATATTTAGGATTTGTGTGCATCTTCTTGGACCAAAAATGTTTCAACGTTTAACTGACTATAACTTTCTGAAAGTTCTCTTCCGCAGATTTTCACTTGCTTTCAACTATCACGTTCTTCTGATGCACATTTCCATTGCTGAACTTGTTTTGTGATTCCCATTGCTCTCCTCGTTTTTTTTTTCTTTTTTTTCTGTCTTCCCACAAGATTTTTTCTTTGACTTATTATGTTTACAGATATTCCTGTTTGGGATAAGATCCTTTAAGTCACTAGGAACTTTTCAGTTCCTGCTGCAATCTCTAAAGGGCAGAGCTATTACTTGTTCAAGTTGGCTATGATTTTTCTCTGGATGCCTTGCAGAATCCCTTGAAGTTCCTGATAAAGGGACAGTTTCTTCGCTTTAGCAGAGTGAAGTATTTATGCTAGTGGAAATGATGATAGTACTTACTATGATGCACCCAAGAACAGAACTAAGCCTAGTGCTGATGTGACTTCAGCATGGCTAGTTGAAGTAAGTTTATTGTATAAGTTAACCCCAACTTGCTTATTGCTTAAAATGGAACCAAAAGGTTAAATGGGAATGGTGAAAAAATGGCTTGAAAGGGTAGGGCTTCTATTTGTTATGGTGTGAATAATTCTTTCTGATGATAGAGCTTGAACTAAGGCTTGAACTAAGGACGTGAAGTAAGAAGATTTGTGGTAACTTGAATTTTAATACAAGTGGGTATTAATGTCTTTAATTGATTTTAATTTCCCTCTTTATTCTAATTTAATGAGAAAGCAAGGGGATAGGCAACTCTTTTTCTCACTTTAATGTCTTTACTAAAGCTTTCCATAATTTTATCTTCCTGAATGTCGAATTCATCCCTTAACGCTTATCTTTAGAGTCTGGACTGTAGAGATCACCGCTTCAGCGCCCTGAATCTGGTCCTGGGGTGAAGTGCTGCTGAGCTGAGGGGCTCAGAAGTCACCAAACCAGAGTTTTATAGTCTGATCTGGAAGTTGACATTAGTGCACTGAGCAAGGTGAAACAGCCACTTAATTCCACAGACTTAAATCTAAAACTGTTTCCAACAGGAGTTCAAATCTTGCTCCTCCTAATGTAAAAATGAACAGCAAGTTAGAAAGGAAAAGAGTTGTGCTTAAAGCATTAGGCAGGTCTTACTATTCTCTCTTCCTCTTAATATTATATTTGAGCTTTCCTTAGAAAACATCCACAGCATTGGCTTAAATATAATTACAATTCAATTTTAAAGCTGTAAAACCTTTTTGTGTGTGTAGCGATTACTTTCAAAGCGCATGGACTTTTAAAACATGCCTTAGGTGCCTAGATATGGCTCCACAGAGAAGATGGTCTACTGTTTCACTTTTTTGTATGTTTTCTTATGGGTGCTTACATAAAACTATTATGTTTTTTAAAAAATACCTCCTTTGTGTCTTGTGTTTGCTTCTTTTGGGGAGAGAGAGCAAAAAAAAAATTTTAGCAGTAATTGTTGGATTGTAGAATTCATATGCAAAATGTCATTGCCAATGAGCAATCTGGTTTATATGACATGGCCTTCAGAAGTCCTTGACTCAACATGCTTCCCCTGACAAAAATAAAAACAAGAAATTCAGCAAATGAATGTAACAGAGCAAGTCTCAGTGCTGTTTGAAGTTGCAAGAAGTTTTGTGGTCAATTCCGACTGAACTAAGACTGACGTCGTTGTAGAGTTGACGTGTTCCCCACTTTTCGAAACGTCGCACCAATCTGCTCAGTCTGCTTGTCAGTTAAGTTTCTGTTTGTTAATGCAAGAAGTATGGAAAATAGAAGAAGACAAAGATCATAATACATATAATAAAATTGCAGCATATATGGGATAAGAAATATTTTGTGGATGATTCATATGACTGCCCTGTGATCTAGTTCAGGCCAGAAAAGCAGGGGAGAAAAAGAGAGAAAGTGTTTTGTTGTATGTTGAGGTCGGTGTGGTTGCAAGCATACCGAAGGGGGGAATTAGGATTCAAAATCATCCTGACAGATTGGACAGAATTGACAAACTTTGCAAATTGGAAAGAGAAGTACTAAAGGTCAGTTTGGCAGAAAAAGAAAGGTCAAGTAGTTGGCTCACGTTCAGCTTGTGACCCCTTCTACTACTGCGAGGCAGCAAAATGGACAGATACACTGAAGTGTATAAAGACTGTATCATCTATATGAGATACAAAATAATTCTCTCTTTCTATTCAGCTCTGGTGAGGCCTCAGCTGAAGGAGCAGGTCTAGTTTTGTATGCCATACTTGCTAGGAAAAGTCAGAGACAGTTCTGAAAACAGCCACGAGACTTAACGGAGGACTCTGAACTGATCCCATTATTCCGTTTGCAAAAGGTGCCAGAGGCCTGGAAGAAAGGCTAGCTTTGAGTTTTATTCAATAACTTCAAATAATCTGGAAAATAGGTTAACATTTCCTAACTATATTCGCACACTGTCTCAAACTGTAAACTCCTGCGAAACTTGCAGAAGATGCGTAAATGTCTATAAGGAAGTTAGAATAGCTAAACGTAGTCAAGAAATAACAAATTTAAGCCCTAATACTGACACCTGTGATCATATATTCTTGTTAAACCTGCACCACCGATTCATTGGAGGGGTGTAGGAGATGGAGGACAGTATTTGCATTTCTGCATAACATAAGCGATGAGCTTTTCTTGTCTTCAGTGGCAGAGCCCCTCGCAGAGTGGGGCACTGGCCTGGAGCTCGTGCTCCCCTGCCTAAGCTGGATCCGGTAAGAGGCTTGGATGAAGGTGTCTGAAAGGAAGGACTCTGCAACTCTAACCAAAATGCTGAGTAAGGACAGGGACAAACTTTAAGCTGATGTCTGGTGAGAGGCTGGCGCCTGCTCAGAGCCAGGACTGGCATCTGGACCTAGATGCTTATGCCTCTTTCTTTTTTTCCCTTCTTTTTTCCGCCCTCCCGACCTTGGTAGGGCACCTACCTTAATTTTTTTCCTTTTAAACAGTGATGGTAATGGTGCCACCTTTTACACAATTGTGCAGCAGTTACTGCCAGTCTGAGCCTAAGTGTTAATGTAGCTGATGATACACAGGGGATCGTCCCGGACATGTGGCAGAGTCACATCACTTGCTTTGAATTTATAGTGCTGTCTAGTTATTTTGCTCTGGGAAATGTGAGTGAGTCTTTTTATTTTTTAAAGGAACACAGAAATCATCTGATGAATAAGATCTTTTGTTTTCATGTTATTTTTAGTGCAGTAGATCATGCTTCACTGTCATACTTCTCATGCTATAGCTTTGCCATAGTTTTTTTTGGTACCTTAAATTTACAGGGAATAAATTAGTCCATCTGTTTAATGTCTTCCTCCCCTCCCCCTGTTTCCAAGCAAACGAACTCAGGCTGATTTCTACCCGAGCCGATTACAGCTTCTCTACGACTACCTGTTCTCACAAGGCGCGCGTTTCCGCCGAAGGCGCTCGTGCGAAGAGAACAAGCGAGTAGGTGGCGAAATTATACGACGGTGCAACAAGGGATGTTCAATCGGATAAGACCGAACTGTCGGATTTAATTATTTCCTCTACCGAGTAAGCCCAAAAGCCCAACAGCAGCGGACTCGGCGTTCAGCGCGAAACCCCTTGCGAGCTGCAACCACAGGAGAGGCGGCGAGGGGCAAAGCTGGCTGGGGCAGGCCGGCGGCGGCGGCGGG